AAATCAAGCACGTAAGTTCTCTAGAACTGTTCACCTTTTGCAAAGATGTTTTGCTATTCTAGGTCTTCTTCCATTTCCACATGAATTTAGAATCAGCTGGCAAATTTGTGTGAAAAAGCTTGCTTGCATTTCCTTGGGATTGCACTGTACATACAGACCAGCCCAGGGAAGGCTGACGTCCCAGCAGCCCTGTGTCCTCGAACGTGGTACACCCCTCCATTCACTCTGGTCTTCTTTAATTCCTCTCAGCAGTTCTGTGGCTTTAGGTAAAGCAGACTTGCACATCTATTAAGAACAGAGGCACAGATATTTTATGTTTTTGTCAGTATTTTTAATGGGATTATTTTAAAATTTCATTTTCTGGTTGTTGGCTGTTCGTATATAAAAATCCATTTATTGCTTATTAATCTTGTATCTGGTGACCATGCTAAGATCACGTATTGGTTCTAGCAGAGGTTTTTTGGACAGTCATGTCGTTTATTAATAAGGGCAATTTCTTCCCTATCAACCTTCATGCCTTCTCTTTCTTTTCTTGCCTTAGTGCAGGGACTAGGTCCTTTAGTGCAAAGGCGAGTGGGATCGGTGAAAGGGAGTTTCCTTTGCTCACTGCTGAGCCAAGAGAACAGTGTTTTAGTATTTCATCACGGACTAGGACATGAGCAGTAGAGTTTGCTGAGATTTTATCTGTGGTTGAGTGCATGATACATTTCCTTTACAATTTTAGTTTGTTATTTGCCCCATATCTATTGAGCATGCAGACATGCTAGACACAGCTCTAGATCGAGGGGTCGCAGCCACAAGCTGGTCGGTCCCTGCTCTCGTCGAGCTCACTTTCTATTGGTGGAGACTGACAAGAAAAAGCAAGTGAACGAATTTAAATATCATTTCAAGTAATGGTACCTGTGGGGACACAAAGCTGGCCAATTGAGGGCTGTTTTCTCTTCCCTCATTTTTATTTTTGGTTCATATTCAGATCTGTAATTGTGGTGTCACCTCAGAATTTGTGGTGTCACCTGAGAGTCCTGGGTCATGCTTCCTCACCAAAAACTTACCCCAGCCCCGTTTAGGGAAAGCTGGTTCTTTCTCCAGGCTTCTGAGGCCCCGCCTCTGTCACCGGTCATGTGTCCAAGTCCTGGGTGGGTGTGTTTGTGGGGCGGTGGATGGGCTGTCCCCTCTGATCCCAATTTCTGTCTACCCCCAGCCCAGCGAGAGACTGCATCACAGCGCAGCTCACAAGGGCTGTGTGCTTGGGCCATTTTCTTCCTGGTTCTTTTCCTGGTGTCTGTCCTGGCCTTTAGGGCATCTTTAGATTTTCTGTATGCAAAACTCTTAGCTTGTCACATTTCACAGAATTTCCTTTTTAACTCTTGGGGCTGTGACTGAGACTCACTCTGGGGAGAAACGACAGCTTCATTATGCAATCTCCCCAGCCACGAACGTGACAAGTATCTGTATTTATTTAGAAATAGTTTAGTTTTCCACTAAATTTTGTAATTTTCCCATAGATTTATTTCAAGGTAAAAAGTACTTTCCACTTTTAAAAAATTGACTTTAATGTAAATATAACATGGTATCCTGGAATGGGAAAGGGCATTAGTGGGGACAGCAGTGACATTAAATAGTCTGTAGGTTGCTTCCCAGTGTTGCCCCTGTGACGATTTCATTAGCTGTGATGAATGTATCATAGCAAACCTTAGAAGACGCTGGCCAGGGGCGTGTAGGAGCCCTTGTACCTGTGTGACATCTGTAAATCTAAAACTATTTCCAGATGAAGTTTTAAAAGTCAACAGTAACTTAAATGTTACTTAAATACACATAATTTGAAGTATGTGTAACGTACCACAAGTGAACGCATCCATGGTAGTGACCACTCTTATAGGGGTGACCAGTGCGTACGAGCGGCCCCAGAAAAGCCTGTCTGGGTTAGGATGAGGGGGTCCCCCTCCCCGCGCTCCTGCCCCCGCGGAGCCAGCATGGGGCCCGGCTGTGGGACCCCGAGCAGAGTCCACCTCCCTTTTGCAGTCAGAGACCTGGACCTTGGAGTTGGGGGAGAATGGCTCCGTGTCTGTTTTTTCATCTGTTAGCATGGTGGGCCGCTAAGGGGCCGGGCACCCCGCCCCTCCCCGCCAGCTCCCATTCTGGGACCAAGCTTGCTGCAGTTTCTGCTCTGGTGCTGGGCACTCTTCTAATTCCCAGCCCACTGGGTCTTCCAGAGGCATGTTCTGCGCAGCAGCGGAGACCATGCAGGGGAGACTGGGGGCCAGGGAAGCTCGCCACATGGCCCTGTGGATGCCCCCAGGCCGGGTGCCATGCCAGCAATGAGGGCTTTGCAGCCAGCTGGTGTGGCACAAATCCATTCCACTGTGGAGTGACCTCGGGTCCCCTCACCCCTGGCCTTGGGGAGGCCAAACAGCCCCCCAGAGTTGCCCCTCCATCCGATGGGCCAGGGCCTCCCTTGCCTTTCCCTAAGCCTCAGGCCAAATGGACCAGCCCAGAGCTCAACTGAGGGCCAGACAAGGACACCAGGAACCCTGAGGAGTCCCTGAAACTCAGAGCCAGAAGGGCCCTGGACAAGCCCCCACTCCACTACCACCAGGCCCACCCTAGCGTGGCAGAGCTCAGCACACAGCTGGCTCTCAGTAGATGCCTATTTGATCACTAGCTCTGTAGCTCATGTGCTGTGTTGGAGAAGCAATCGCACCCCACCCCCCGCCCTCCCCCAGCTGTCCCACACCTTCCTTCCCAGGAGGGAAAGGGGGGACACCAGGTCACCAGCTCGGCTTTGGGGATTGTTTTTAAAGGATTTTATTTGTTTGTTTATTTCAGAGAATGTGAGTAGGGGAAAGACGGGGGTGGGGGGACGGGAGGGGGAAGGCATCTCAAGCAGACTCTGTGCTGAGATCATGACCTGAGCCGAAACCAAGAGTCAGATGCTTGACTGACCGAGCCCCCCAGGCACCTCCCTCAATTCTGCTTGAGTACACCAGACACTCTCAGGAAGGAGGAAGAGCAGTTGGTCACTCTCACTTTAGTGTGAATTAGCGTGTTCAAGAGGGAGGATTACAGAAAAGTGGGACTTGGCACTGTTCGGAAAACTGTAGCTGCTCCCTGGACTGTGGGGTACGCTCCTGCCTCCTCCACACCTGCCAGAGCCGACTGCCACGCAGGAGGCAGAGAGATCCTGCTTGCTCCTCTGGGCAACTACTAGCAGAGTGTAGAAGTGACTCTCCTCTATGACCTGCTTCTCCTTGAGTCACTGGCTTCATATCGGCTTTATCAAACTGGGCAGGTGTTTCTGAAAACAGACCCTGAGGTTTTAGTTTTCTGTTAGTCCGGATCTGTGCCAAATGCCCAGTACAGGAGGGCTCCCTGACCTCACAGTGACATGGTGGCCTTGGCGCCCCACACTCCAAGACGCTGTGGGAGTGTCTAGCAGCTAGGAAAGCCCACAGGGGGTGGGCATGGCCCGGCCTGATGGACGTCTAGTTCTCAGCCCAGAATACTCAACCAAAGAGTTGTTCTTTCTCTTTCTCTCTCTTTTTAAAGATTATTTATTTATTTATTCATTTATTTATTTATTTAATAGAGAAAGAGAGAGAGCGCGCATTAGCAGGGGCAGCGGCAGGCAGAGGGAGAAGCAGACTGCTGCTGAGCAGGGAGCCTGAGGTGGGACTCCATCCGAGGACCCTGGGATCAGGACCCAAGCCAAAGGCAGGTGCTTAACAACTAAGCTGCCCAGGCGCCCCCCAAGAGTTGTTCTCTTGCCATCAACAGCTAGTGGTCTTGCAAACGACTTCCTCCGCTCACACGGTTGGGGTCAGTCCTGAGTAACCGGTGGGGACAGTGTATGCCCCAGACAGCTGTCGGAAAGGGAGTGTCTCCAGGCTCAGGACTACACAGACCTGTGCGGGAGCCGAGGAGGATGACCGTCTGGGAGAGCTAAGACGTGGAGGTGGGGACTCAGAACCCAGAGTCACTGAATTTAGGGAAAAGGGAGCAGTACGGAGTTGGGAGGGGACCCTGCTGGAGGTGGGCAGTGACATTCGTGCCCACCTGCACGGACTTGACTGAGGGGGTTCTGTGCATTTCCACCTCACGGTTTATGGCCAAGGCATGGGCGCCGCTGGCTGCGCAGCTGTGGGTCATCACGGGGTGGGAGGCCAGAGGCCGACAAAAGGGTGTCTATGGGGTGGAGATAGGTGGTCACTGGTCCCCGCTCAAGATGGCAGGCACAGGGGAGCCCTGGGAGGGGGGGCTTGCGGAGGAAGCATGCAGGCGTGATGGGGACGCTGCCTCGCTCCTACTGGCCAGGCAGGGGCGCCCCAAGGAGCTGACCGCCCCCGGCTGAGGTTGCCCCCTTGCTCCCGACAATGCCTTCAATGTGGGACGGCTCTGCTCCCAGGAGCCATGGAAGGGCCGGGCTCGCCGCCATGCCCGCTAAGCTGGAGCGGTAATTACATGTCTCTGTCCTGTGGGCCGAGTCCCAGAGGGCGTCTGGGGGTGTTTGTTGTTGCCTGTGAATCAGGAGCTCATGAGAAAAGTGGTGGCTGGTGCGGCAGAGAAATTAGGGCCTTGGTGCTTTGACACACAGCCTCCAGCCGAACCCCTGCCCATGAGCCTCTGGACACCTCGGCCCCGGGCTGCTCCCCAGCCAGGTGTTCATGCCTTCAGACCAGCCTTCCACCACCTTCTGGAGGCCGAGCTTCTGGACACAAGACCTGGAGCAGACATGCCAGCCCCGGCCACACAGACATGGCCACACATAGACGGGCAGACTCACGCACATGTAATCACACTTCCCTGCAGGCACAGACCTCCTCTCTCCCCCGACGCGCACAGGCCAGGCTTCCCTCTGGGTGGAAGCCACCAGAACCGGCAGGAGCCAGCACCAGGAGGGAAGGAGCAGAGATGGAGGGGACCTGAGCCTGGGGCCTGGACTCTCGGTAGGCAGCAGCAGCTGACAGGGGAAGCTGGCCTGACTCACCACCCTCTGTCCCCAGGGGCCACAAAGGACATGGGGAAGATGCTTGGAGGCGATGAGGAGAAGGACCCTGACGCAGCCAAGAAGGAGGAGGAGCGCCAGGAGGCCCTGCGTCAGGAGGAGGAGGAGCGCAAGGCCAAGTACGCCAAGATGGAGGCCGAGCGTGAGGCCATGCGACAGGGCATCCGAGACAAGGTGGGTGCGGGGCACAGGGATGACGGGGCTCCAGACGGGGCACCCCACACCTCACCCCCCTGGACCAGGCCTCTCTCCACCCACTCCTTGGCCTGGTTCCTTGAAACAGACCTTTGCTTGGTCCGCTCCCAAGCTCCAGGAGGTGGTGCGAGGGGACGGGAGCAGGGCAGAAAGGTCCGCACACCCCCAGGAGTCCATGTCTGCTGCACAGGCCCGCCAGCGTTAGGGCTAACCCTGTGGGACACCAAGTCTTTCCTGCTCTCCACAGTGGGCCTGGGTCCCCTCCTCATGACAGGGTCTCCCAGACTCTCTGGGCCCGACGGTGGTTTCTGCAGGAGAAAGCCTCCCATCTGGCTCTTCCTGGAGCTGTGCCCTCAAAGCCCCTCCCAAGGCCTCTAGGGAGACACCCCCACCCAGAGTGGGTAGGTGCCGGGCTGCCCAGGGACAGGGGCTCTCAGGCTGGCCCTGGGTGGGGCAGCCATCAGGATTAGGGGAACGCACCTGAGCAACCCCAGAGGGTCCTCATAGCTTCGGAGGTTTGCAACAGAGCGCTGGGGGAAACGGGCCTGCAGACTGAGGTCTGGCTTGGGGGCCTTGGGCTGGCAACCACAGTCTTTCTGGGGATCATCTGGGCTACCTTCCCCAGCAAGTGCGGCAGTGAGGGAAAGCATTGCGCCAGGCAAAGACGGGGCAATCGAGGCCTGGGGCAGCGGGTCACACACTCAGCACAGTGCTGGAGCACAGGGGGTCCGTGCCCCCAAGGGCATGTCCACGGCCCACCCTCTGTGGCCCATCCAGCAGCTGGGTTGGAAGTGTGGGGGAGAGGGCATGTGCTGGGGGAACTGATCCAACCCCACCTGGGGGAGCCAGGCTGGGGGCCGGGTGAGGAGATGGGGCCTTCCCCTGGGGACCTGGGAGTTCCATGAGCCTTCAGCAACCCCCAAACCATATGGCCACCCAAGGTCTTCAAGGCCACTCTGTCCCCAAGCCCCCACCTCCATGAGAGATGCCTACAGCCCGGCGGTCGCTGGGTCCAGGTGCCTGGGTGGGGGGTGTTGCCTTGCTGGTTCCTTCCTGCCCCTCACCCCAATGACCCTGGCTCTGGGTTCTGAGGGAGGCATTCCCAGACGCTGCAGATAAAACTTGCTGGTAGGGGGCTGGGTCTCCTCAGGAGATGTCTGTGGTCCCTGGCCCTGGACCATCTGAGATGCCCAGGCCGCTGGGTCTAGAGCCTAGACCCCGGTATCTTCCTGCCTGCCGAGTGCTGCCTCAGTGTACCCAGGGAGGGCCGTCCCCACTCATGAGGTAGGAGCCAGGCCTCCCAAGGTGGGGCAGCACAGCCGGGGTGCCTGCACATCTCTAGGAAACACGGGGCCCCCACATTGACGGGGTTGGGGGACCGCAGACCTCAACATCCCACCATTGATCACGGGACACCTCTTCTGGGGAGCCCCAGAGAGCTCCAGCTGGTTTTGCTGTGAGAACCCCTGACAAGCACCTGCTGCGTTCTGGGTCAGGCAGCCCGGGCTGGGAGGGGTCATCCCTGTAGGGGTCAGGAACAGGGGGATGCTGCAGAAGGGGAGGGATCAAGAGACAGAGACAGATAGATGCCCAGGCAGAGAGGGCTGGAGCAGCTGTGCTCTGAAGCCTGTCTGTCTCTCTGTCTGTCTATTTGTGCACTTGGTGATGGGTCCTGGGGGATCTGCCCTTGAGCCTCACAAAGAGGTCACAGTGTTTGGACAGGGCTTGGAGCCCTGGGGGTGTGCAGTGGGGGCGTCTCCCCCATCAGGAGGCAGATGCCAAGTGAGCCCCTTCCCCTGAGCCCCCACCTGGCCTGCTCAAGTGCTGTTGGTGAGAGATCATGAGCTCAACAGACTCCAACTCATTTTATCTTTAACATGGAAACCCCTTCTGTCGCTCCTCGCTTCAGACTGCCCCTGGGCTCCCGTTTCATCCAGGGCCCCAGCCCCAGGCTTGTGCTGACTTGCGCCCATTGCGCCTGGGCCTCCTTGGGTCCATGTTGCCAGTGCCCCAGGGCCTTTGCTTGGTTGATTCTCCCTGGACGTCTCCCGAGGCTCCTCCCTCCCCACTCCACCCTCCACACAATCCTCCCCATCTCCTGCTTTCTTTTGCTCCCCAAACCTACTTTGATCTGACCCACTCCTGTTTTTCACTTGTTTGCTGTCCATTGCCCACCCCCACATGGCTGGTGGCAGCTTTGGCTGTTTGTGTCTGGCTCTGTACCTGTCGGCTAAAACAGAGCCCGGCCCAATAGGTGCCCTGCCATAGAGTGAGTGAGGGAGTGGGTGCTCGAGTGAGCATGAGCTCAGGGTCCTCTTCCTCCTCCTGGGGATCTGGTGGGAACCATCATGGAAAGAGGCCTGGGGGAAGTGGGAGGTGCCTCCTCCATGAGAGCAGCAGGTGTCCCGCTGCTCCATGGACAAGCAACACTCAGGGAGCTCTCCCAAGGATGGACCCTGTCCTCCAGACCCCAGGCTCGGGGTGGCTCTGTGGAGAGCCACACCCCTTGGAAGAGCCTCAGGACCCCCTCTGTCCCCACATGAGCACCCCTACCCGGGATCCCCTTGGCTGGGTGCCTTCAGCTTCTCTGCCACCCCTGGGAGCTGGGTCTCGCCCCTGCCCAGTGGAGGACTCCTTCCTGTGCACATCTGAGTTCTGTTCCCATGGGCCCAGTGGGGCACGGTGGCATTGGCTGATCCCAGGGGCCGGGGTCAGAGCACCAGGGGCTCTGACCTTACCTGGCCAGCCTGATCGTTCTTCCAGCTATTGTGGGATTAGATAGGATGAGTGGGACAGGACCTGTCCCCAGAGGGTCCACCTGCAGGGAAGGCATGGGTGTGTCGGGGACACCTGTTGGGGACCACCTGGACATCACAAACTCAGTCTGCAAGGCAGGGGCCTTTCCTGTGTGGCTACAGAGCTAAATGAGACAGTGGTCACCTGGCCAGGAACTGGGTAGGGGGTGGTGCTGGTGCTGGGCAGATGGGGACGATGGTCAGTCCCTCCATACATGGGTGAGAGGCAGCTCAGGAAGGGGTCTGACATGTTTTGGATGCTGGAGCCCCAGAAGGCCCAGGCTGTCCCAGTGCCACCATTCCAACCTCCAGAATGTGGCCCCTCCTATGAGCTCCAGGGCCCCGTGAAAATGGAGGAAGCTCAGAGTCCGAGTGGAGGCTGTGTGCTGATGGTGTGGGGTGCAGGGCTGGAGCTGACCCCCTTGCTGAGTGAGTGAGGGCTTGGCACCTGCCTGCGTGGGGGGAATCCCCTGTTCCCCTCTGTACCTATAGCACCATTGAGTCACCCAGCCCCCAGGTCCTGCCCCTGAGAGGTCTGCCTGCCACTCATGTCCCCTGGGTTCTCTGCAGAGCCCTCTTCCACTGGCCCATGTAACCACTTTTTTCCTCTTCCCCACAGGTGGGAACCCTGAACCCTCTTCAGGTGTGGCTCCCCCAGGTTACCCTCTCTGACCCCCAGGCACCAGACCTGGCTTCCTCCAGTCCTCCCCTGGCGCCATGTACCCCTAGGCTTCCTGGGGTACTGCTGCTCAGTCCAGGGTGGCCCCCAGATGGGTGGGGGGCCATCAGATGGCAGACATAGGGGCCAGGGTCACGTATCCTCTGGGGCACCCAGGTCCCTTGGCGACCTCATCCAAGGAAAGCAGAAGCAGCCTTTTAGGATGTCTCACCTTAGGGTTGGTGGGCAGTGCCTCCTTCTCCCTACCCCATCGCCGTGTACCTGTGAGACTGACTCACCTGTGCTTATTTGCCTATGTGCTGCCTGGTTTGCATATGCATTTCCTGATTTGCATACTTGCCTGGTTTGCATGCCCATCACCAGGTTTGGAGACCCTCAGCTTTGAGCCACAACCACCCTCCTCCCAGCACCATGCAGGTGGATCCCAGACCACCAGGTCCCCCACATTCCCTTGGGATCACTCAAGGCTTAGTCTGAGGTTTGTGGTGAAAGTAACAAGCAAATATGTGATTGCAGTTTGTTTGTTGTTTGGGAATGTTACAGATCCTCACTTAATTAGCACCAGGCTCCTCCCAGCCACTGGGTGTGCAGTGGGACCCTGCCATCTCCGTAGTTGGTGTGGAGGCTGGGCACCGCCAGTGGGTGCCTGGACTGGCTGTAGCTGGACATTTGTCTCTGGAGCAGCTCCCAGCCAGGTCCCACTGGAGCCCAACTCAGGAGTCCCTCCCCTAACATGGTGACCTTTAGGTGGAACCCAGGGACCTAATCCTTGGAATGACTTTGAGTTTTACTGGAGTGGCTGGGCTGGGGTCCGGGGTCTCCTTTGGAGGCACAAGAGGGGACAGCCCCAACACAGTGCTGGGCCGGAGCCTGCCTCTCAGGTCGGGGAGATTCCTCTGCTCAGCTACACTGTGTTCTCTTGCCATAGCATGCGTGTCCCCTGAGCACAGGTGGTGAGCGTGAGTGCAGGCTCCTGGGCCCGGCCCCAAGACCGACCCCCCAGCGCATGAATGTTCCTGCTCTGTGCATAGCCGTCTGTGGCTGGAGAAGTCTGCTGGAGTCTGTGTTCCTGGCTGGAGGGAAGCTCTCTCTGGTCTGACCTAGTTTCTGGCAGTGTCTCTCTCCCCCGCCCACGTTCCACCCCACAGGCCTCCAAGCCACATGTCCCTTCCTTCCCCTTCCAAGCCTAGGGGCCACTCCCTCCACCAGGACTTTGTCCCAGAGTGGTGACCCAGGGAGAGGGCATGAGGTCCTTGTGCAAGGAAGTGCCTAGTGTCTGGCCAGTTTGTCACGCTCTGTGCCTTTGTCTGACCTGACATCAGGGCTCAGTAGGAAGGGCCCTCTGGTCCATGTGCCCACTGCCCAAGGTGTTCTCTGGGTGCCCCCAACAGCCCGCATTCCTCTCTCTGTCTGGCAGGTGCCCAATGAGGCTCTGGGCTGTGCTGTGGTCACAGGGGGCCAGAGAGCATGGCTTCCTCCTCTGACCTCTGCTGAAGGTGGCCATCGACTCCCCCATGCCTGAAGCCACCAGCAGGCTTAGGGAGCAGACAGGGGCAGAGGTTGCCGTCCGTGTCTTCAGCAGGCTGGGGGTAGGACACAGCCAGTTCCCCTGAAATCTGGAAGCAGAGGGAAGGTCCTTCTTGGAGAGTGGGGCACTCCCCTCCTCCCCACCAGCCCCAAAGCAGAAGATGGGCTGGCAAAGAGAGATGAGTGAGCAGTGGGGTCAGTCCTCCCCCTGGGCAGAAACACCTTCTCCCCAAGGCCGGTGATCATGCCTGTGTGTTCCCCAGTAGAAATCTGGAGTCTGTGGATAAACCCTGCCCCCACACACTGTCCCCAGTTGTCCCTCTTTACCCATATTAATGCTTCTGCTCCTGTGTGCTCATGTGTGACTCAGAACCTCAGACCTGCCTAAGGGGTGCCCTCTTTCCAGCTTGAGTGGGTCCCAAGCTTGGCCCATCAGAGAGACCTGAGTCCAGCATGACCCCACCCAGTTCCCACCAGCCTTGAGGCAGGAGGCCTCTTGGTGACCAGAGACTCATCTTCCTCAATCCTGTGGGACTAGGATGGTTCAGTGCTGGTTCCTGCAGGGCTAGTGGTGGGCCTGGGGGTAGGGAACATGTTTGGTCTCTTTGAAACTTACTGTCTCAGTTCTAGAGGCCAGAAGTCCACAATCAGGATGTGGGCGGGGCTCCCTCCTTCTGAAACCTGCAGGGGAGAACCCTTCCTTGTCTCCTGTAGCCGCTCCGGGCAGTGCTCAGGGTCCTTGGCTTGTAATCAGCCTTTCTCCACTTTCTTGTGGCTTTCTCTGTCCTTGTTTTTCTTCCACAAGGAAACTCTCCCTGAATTTAGGGCCCAGGAAGATCTCCTTACCTTAATAACATCTGCAACGGCCCTATTTCCAAATAAGGCTGCATTCTAAGGTTCCAGGTGACATGAATTTTGGGGGGACACCATTCTACCCACTACAGAGGGGAAACTGGAAATGGGGGCTCAGGGGTGCCCAGGACAAGCCTGGGTGGGGCTCCAGAGCTGCCATCTAGAGCTGCCACTGCGCCCAGTCTGCTGGCTGTCCAGGCCATCTGGGGAGATGGGCCAGGCCTGAGGTGTGAGCACCCCTCACCTGACTGGGGACCTGGGCTGAGTGGGCCCGCCAGCCACGGAGCAGTGGGCTCTTCACCAGCCAGCTCCTGGACCACAGCTCCTGCCTCCTGGGAAGGCGAGGCAGGATGGCAGTGGGGAGGGCTGGGGGTGGGGCAGGGGCACCGATAGGGACCGCCCCCCTGCTTCCGCCACACCCCTACAACAAGGCCCCCCAAGCCCGGCTTCCTTTGTCTCCGCACACTCCGTGGGGGGCTGGGACACCTGCTGACCCCGCTGCCCCCTCTCCCCACCCAGTACGGCATCAAGAAGAAGGAGGAGCGCGAGGCGGAGGCCCAGGCCGCCATGGAGGCCAATTCGGAGGGCAGCCTGACAAGGCCCAAGAAGGCCATCCCGCCGGGCTGTGGGGACGAGCCAGAGGAGGAGGACGAGAGCATCCTGGACACGGTCATCAAGTACCTGCCCGGGCCACTGCAGGACATGTTCAAGAAGTAGCGACCCTGCGCTGGACGGCAGCCCGCCCGCGCCGGGAGCCCCCAACCCCATCGCCCCGATCTCCCACTTAGCCCCTGCCCGTGCCCTCCGGAGGCCCCTGAAGGGATGTCGGGAGCAGAGTGCAGCCCCCCCAACGCCAATATAAGCCATAGTCCTAGATCTGTCAGCCCCTGTCCCCCTCACACCTCGGGAGCCTACGCACCTCTCACTTCCACCCTCTCCCAGCACCGCCATCGCCACCGCCCCCGGGGGCAGGGGCGGCCGCCCCTCCCCTCGGCCCCTGCGGTCTGTGCTGCCGGCACCCCCGGGGGCCGGCCCACGTGCTCCTCTGGGTTGGACCCTCCCCCAGAGCCTGGGACGTCCCTTACTGCTCCCGCCCTTCACACCCACCCTGCAGTGCCCAAGGCCAGGGCCACCGAAAGGGCCAGCATCTCGACCACCCCTGGGTGCGCCGTCCCTGCGTTGGTGGGCGCTTGTCCGGTCCCAAACTCAGGAGCACAGCCATAGTGGGGGGAAGGCGGGCGTGCAGGCTGGGAGAGGAGCTGGGAGGGGCGAGCAGCCTCACCCTTGGGACAGGGGTGGGAAGACCCCCATCCCTGCGGTTACACCTGGGCTGCAGGATCTCTAATCTTCCTGTCTGAAGGTTGCCCACCTCCACCGGCCACCCCCCTCACATTCATTGTCCATCTGTCTCTCCATGTCCTTCACTCTCCCTTCTCGGCCCACTCCTCTGGAAGGCTTTGCTTCTTATCAATACCAAGACCCGTTTCTCTTCTAAACTGAGGGAAACAAAGCAATAGGCCTAGGGGGAAATTTCTCAGACCCGCCCCCCACCTGCCCTCCCCGCCCAGTGCGGAATACACACTGACCCTCACACACCCCTGTAACTCTGCCCCGGAGTCCGAGGGCCCGGCCACCCCCCTCCCTGGCTGGCACCTCTGGTCTAACCCCTGGAGGCTGCTCTGAATGGGGGGATCCCCTGCCGCCTCCCTCTGCACCCCGCCGTCCCCCTCCCCCTCCCCAGCGCTGGGAGGAGACGCAGAGCCCTTGCAGGAGTGCGTGCATCTGGAGAGGAGTGTGGAGGAGACAAAGGCCGCCCCTGGCCTCTTCCGCAGGGTGCAGGCCCCCCGAGGTGGGGCCTGCCAGGAGGCCTTACGATCGGTGGAGGCGGAGTCTGACGGGGACCAACGCGGGCCTCCCAAACCTTCCTTGTTCCTTCATCCTTGTTTTCCTTTGCATCACGATCTGTTGAATCTCAGGTAAATGAGGTCTTACGTGTTTGGGGAGTTTCATCGTGACAGAGCCCGTTGCCTCGGTGCTCGGGCCCCTTTCTGTCCCGATCACTAATTCATGGTGTCCACGTGTTGCGGGCCCGGGGCACGGCCCCCGTCGCTCTTTAGAGAAGCCATATCAATAGACCGCAATACTAACCGCGCGCCCCTGCTCCGCGACGGGAGAGCGTGTGCCCGCGCCCCCGCGCCGCCCCGCTGCGCCCCGCGCCTCCGGCGCCCTCCTTGACTCCTCCTGGTCCCACGTCTTTTTTAAAATGCCTGTTTTCACACTTTGAAAATCCAGCTCTGAGCAGACAGGGCGTTGTCTCGTAGAAACCCCGCATCCCGTTCCCAGCGCATGGGGCGCCCGGAGCAGCCGAGCTTAGCGTAGACTGTGGGTGTCGTCCGTCCTTCTGTCTTTGCGCCTGCGCCTCCTCCTGCATGTCGGGGGCCGTCGCGTGTGTAGTCTCTGGGTGGAATCACAGCCAATAAAACACCACAGTGATTTCATTCGGTGTGGCCCTTCTCTCCGGAGTCCTGATCCCGCCTGGGCAGCCTGGGGTCCCCACTGGCCGGGCTGGACCCTGCTGGACAGATCTACTTCCTCATCCTGCCAGATAGGAAGCACCTTCCCCTGTCACTGGGACAATGGCAGGGTCTCCCCACCACCCTGACCCAGATCACCCCCTGCTCTCTAAGGCAGCCCTAGGGTAACCGTCTAAGAGGCAGACCCACCCCTTTGGGCTCCCTTCCTTCCTCTTCCCTGCCCCCTCCTTCCATGAATCTCCCACCTTCACAGACAGTCCTTGCCTTCCCCACAGATATGCCAGGCCCTTGAGGGTCCAGCTCCCACTGTGCTGGGCACACTTTCGGCCAACCCCCACCACCCTAAACTCCTTCACAGCCTCTAATCTGTCCTGTGGTGGCCGTTGCCTCCCTGTGTCCTTACGGAGGCCTCTGTGCCCTGCGGGGGCTCTGGGTCCCACACCCCACCAGGGAAGCCTGCCTGTCTGAGCCAGGCTGGGTGAGGTGCCCATGGAACCCTGGGCACCCTGACCCAGCCCAGAGAACGGCCTGGCTCTCTCCCTCCTGGGCCTCCACCCATGTCCTTCCCATCCCCCAAGCCTACCCCAAGGCACCATAACCACGGTTCTGCTTGCAACCCCAGAAAGGACGTGTGTGGTCTCTGCCCCCCCCCCCCCGGCCTCTCTCCAGGGAGCAAGTCTGGGTCATCTGTCTTCTGTGATTCTCCTCATACTGTTGGCCAGAAATACTTTCAGTAAAACCCGTAGTCTTGGCAAGTAGAAAGAGTGCCCTCACCCCCTACCCCTGCCTCCTGCACCCCTCCCCACACAGCTGTGCTCTGTGGGTAGCTCCAGAGCAGCAGGCCTTTGCTTCTGCCTCAGGGGCGGGTGGTGTCAGCAGAGGGGGTATATGAAGACCTGCCTCTGGGGAGATGTTGGCCCTCAGCCCCGTGTACTGCCCCGTGTGCCTTTTGGCTCCTGAGGAAGGAGCAGCTGTCTGTCCTCCCTCCCTGGATCCAAAGCACTGACAGAAGTCTTTGCAGCCAGCTCTGTGGCTTTCAGCTTTGCATTCCCACCCCAGGATGGCCACTCGTAGAAGGGCACTGAAAACGGCACCCACCATTCAGCCTCCACTCCCCCCACCACCCTGGCCTGGCGGGGATGAGGCTCAGTCCTGAGCAGCAACCTGGATCTGCTGGGTGACCTGGCACACCTTCCCTCTGGCCAGCCCCTCCCAGCAACCTCAAGTGATGGAGTCTCAGGACTCCAGGTAAAGCACTTGCTCAACTGATGTTTACTCAGTCCCTATGATGGGCCCACCTCAGCTTTATGCACCAGGGATAACTGAGGTCCCTCCCTCCTGGAAGTGATTTTTTCCAGTGGCAGGAGACAGATGATAAACAAAAGCATAAATCAAGTGGTGATTTCTTCTGTGGAGGAAACTGAGTGGATTAAGGGGGCAGAGAGGATGGTGAGGACCAGTATTTCACCTCTGAGGAGGTACAGAGAAGCCCCAGGGAGAGGAAGAGGGAGCTCTGTGGGACTCCCATGGGAGAGCACTACAGACAGAGGAACAGCCATGCCCAGGGCCCTGAGGCAGGAGGTGCCCTGGGCCCTTCAGAACAGTGACCATAACTGCAGCTGACCATGGCCTTGCTCCAGAAGTCAGTTCTAGATCCACACTGACTCTTAGCAGAGTCTCCTTTCCTTCTGAATGTTTAACTCTTGACAAAGCAGAGCACACATGGATAGGTGGCACCCTGCAGAGACGTTCTCCCGCTCTGGCTCTGCCCGCACGCAGGTCCAGCCAGCTCCTGGCTCTGATGACTTCCTCTCCCTGCTCCCTGCCAGCAACCAGAGATTTCCTGCTTCCTCTCCTCTTCAAGGACCTGCTTGACTCACAAGCCACTTAACTATCAAGGCTGTCAGTACACAATTTTAAAGGTCTGGCAATTAAGGACCGTTTTGTCTAGTTCTGCTAATCCGCAGCTAGACAAGTCCTGCTGGCCACGGTCGCGGCCAGCGGGGCTCAGCGAACCCTGAGTCCGGGCCACCTGTCCACACAGTTTGGAACCGTCTCCACTCCATCTCAGCAGGTCCCCTCAGGTCTAGGGAAAGGAGGGGTCCTGTCGCGGAGGGGCGGGGGGCGGGGTGGTTAACAGCCTAGCTTGGGCTGGTCCCAGGGGCGGGACCGGGAATTGGGCGGGGGTGGGGCTGGGCTGGGGGCGGGATTGAGGGACAACGGCGGGGGTGGGATTGAGGGATTGCAGCGGGGGTGGGGCTGGGCTGGGCGGGATTGAGGGACGGGCTGAGGGCGGGATTGAGGGGCTGGGGCGGGGGGTAGGGCTGGGCTGGGGTCGGGATTGGGGGGCTGCGTCTGGGGTGGGTCTGGGCTGGGGGCGGGATTGAGGGGCGGGGGTGGGGCTGGGCTAGGGGCGGGATTGCAGCCGATCTTGGGGGTAGGCTGTTGTTGCGCTGGTGGTAGGCGCCCGGGCTGTCTCAATGCGAGGCCAGTGTCGGCCACATGTCTGCATGGTATTAAGCGTGGAAGGGCCTCAGGGCAGTCCCCCGGCCCAGAGCCACTTGAGGTGTGCACTGAGACCAAGAGATACGGGAGCCAAAGCCCCGCCTGCGGAGCGTGGCCGCGCCCCCGCACGCCAGGGCTCTGTCCCCGCCCACCTAGTCGGCCTGAGCCAATAGCGCGTGCAGATCGACCCTCCGCAATTGGCTCCGGGATGGTCACGTGCCAGGAACCTGGCCAATCAGAACCGGGGAGACGCCACCGCGCTGAAGGCGACAAGTCCCGGGACGGCCTTGGGGCTCAGTCCCCGCACGGCCTTTCCGGATCCTCCGCAGTTCCTTCCCCAAGTCTTTCCGGAGTTGTCCCGGTGTCCTCCGCAGGCTAAGTTGGGGCAAGGAGTTGACGGCCTGGGTCCCGTGAGCTGCCGGCGAGGAGGCAGCCCCTGGTTCTGAGCTGGGCGCTGACTGGCAACTGGGAGGCCGCCCACCGGACAGGGGACACTGGACAGACCCTAGACAGGGGACACGTCCGGGCTGCCACGTGCGGCGCATCTTCGGCCGCGACAGCAGAGTATCTGCCCCTCGCCTAGGGAGCCGAAGCCAGGCGGGGTGGGCTCATCCTTCCCGCTGTCCCCGCTCGGCCCCCAGACCAGGCAGGGCCAGGCTGCAGCCCGTGCGGGCGAGGCCCAGGTGGCCCCAGCTGGCCAAGCAGAGGCCCACACCTGTCTGAGGGCAGAGCCTAGGAGTAAGGGGCTCCAGTGGCCAGTGCTGACTGGCGGGCTTCGCTCTGCAGCCTGAGGCTCAGAGAAGATCCTTCAGCAGGAGAGTGGGCTCAGCCCGCACGCACCCAGAGTGCCGCACTGGTCACGGTGCTTTTCCTGGAGGTGCAGCTGGCCGCGTGTCCCTGCTGCTGGGCCCTGCCCAGGGCTGCGCATCGTTCCCAGTGGTGCCCAGTGTGATTTCTCCCAGCCTTCGAGGTTGAGTTGATTTTTATAAAACAAAGCGCTTTCTGGCACCTCAATTGAGTGAGTCCCCAGGGATTTATGCTGCGCAGGGGCAAGAAAGGGCTTTGGCAGGAGAGAGGGAAGTGGTCTGGCCTGGCCAGGGAGAGGCCTGAAGGGAGGGAGGGGATTGGGGGACAGTATAGTAGAAGCCGTGGGTGTTGCCTTCTGGCAGCAGGAGACCCAGGAACTGAGAAGCTGGTGGGCAGAGAGGGCAATCCCAGGGTCACAGCTCCTGCTTCTACTAATTGCCAACTCTCTGAAGTTTCCTATGCAAAGACAGTTCTCAGAAAGGCAAACGTTAACGTGTTACTTCAAGGCCAACACAAGCACTGACCTTTGATTTGCTTTCGGAATAAACCTTTAGTGCAGCAGCCAAGAGAGGAGGGCCTCGTGCTCTGTGTCCAGTTGGCCAAAACTTTGATTCTCTCAAAGGAGTCCATCAGTCAGAACTTCTGTCCACACATGTTCACTAGGCCCTGACCACCAGTCTCAAGGAGGGGGGCCAGCCCATTACACCTCCTGGCTCCCACCTCACCCACCCAGGACCGGGCCCAGCTGCAACTTCCCAGCCAACATGGACCATTGACTCTCTGCATGGGTTCTCCTGCAGTTGACTCTTTATACATGGGGCAGAAATAAAGTTAAGTAGATAATAAGAATTCCTCAGTAGGAGAAATTCATCTATGATTGGGGCTG